ATAATTTACATGTATTAGTTTTTTTTTTTTTTTCCCGAGAGGTTTTTGCTATAGGGCGCGTGCGCTTGCCAGACAGACAGAGAAAGATATAGAGACAGAAAGCGAGAAATCACCCCCCAGGGGGGATGGTCACGCCGCAATCCCTTCTCCTCCATTCTCCTCTCAGAATCTTGGGCATGCACGCACACGCACCCGGCGTGAGTTTAAGCCACCAGGTCCAGTACGCGAACCACGGTCGACTACGTGGGAGTCCAGCAACATAGCCATTATGCTAACTGCTGGTTCCCTACATGTATTAGTTTTAAATAGAAAAAGATGTTCTAAAATGCTGATGGATGGAGCTATTTGAAGAGATGTTGGGCCTAAGAGATTATGGGAATCTAGTGTCCTGATCTACATGAGTAAGGTCAGTTCTCCGGTGGGTCTATTTCACCAGTATAGAGGGACCCAACACAGCCTGTTACTGAACTATTTCCAAGTCAAGAAATCATTTCAAGAAAATAATGTGTATACACAATACCTCATTTACCGAAATCTTAAGGAATGAAACCTAGCTGACAAAAGCCATGCTTGGATCAGAGTCATCAGGAGGGAGGCTGCCACCTCCTGAGGCACCTTGGGACCAGGAACACCCTCACACTGGAAGTAAATCTAGGCACCCTACAACATCTTAAATATTCCTGGGTCCTGCCCACCAGTTTCTGTTCCAAGGACTACAATGGCAAAAGACAAAACGACTTAACTGTCAAATAGCATGGAATGTAGTCCCTTGGGGGGTGGGGAGGTGGCTCTGAGATAGTTAAAAAGAACCAAGGGGTGGGTGGGTAACAGGGAAACTGGACAGAACCACTCGGAGACTGTCCAACATTGCTCCTTATCAACGGCGCTCTCCTGACCCAGACAGCATTTCCCTCAGAGGGGTGGGGTTGGGGGTCTGAGGGCCAGGCAGACAGGCAAACCAAGGCTGCCAATGTAGCTGGGGAATGCAGGCCTCTGCCAGCCCCTGGAACCAGCTGCTTCTCACCGCTCAGCCTCAAGTACAGCACCGGTTTCAACCTCACCCTACTAGGGCAAGGTTACAACCCTCTCTACTGCCAGACAATTCCAAACCCTCAAGGCTCCTAGAGCCAGGCCCTGCCTCATCTGGCCACCTACGTTCAGAGTGGCTGAGGTGCCCAAGAGGCCAGCTGGGCCCACCTGAACCTCACTGCTCCCCCCAGCCCCCACAGCTCTGCCTACACCTCACAGCCGCCCCTCTCACCTTCTTGCTGGTTCCTCCCCACTAATTCCATCCAGTCACCCCCTTGGCCCACTCCTCCAACTCTGGCCTCCATTCTTTCCCTGACATCTGTGGGCCCCAGGTCATGGCCTGACCTTTCCCCAGGGCCTTAGGCCCCCTACTGTTCAGACATGCACTGACCCTGTGGGCAGCCCCAGGGAACCCCAAGAGGCAGAGACTGGGAAACCCAGGAGTCTGAACTTTCATGGCCATGGGGAGAGAGGGTTGAACTTAGTGCCCTGACTCTGGCCATATTCAGGCAGGCAGTTTTTCATTTTTAAAATTTATTTTATTTTTAAATAAAGGGCATGCGTGCTCATGGTGGGTTGGGGCGTGAGAAAGCACTCCTGGAGAAGGATCGCCTTACAATCCCTCCTCCATTTTTTCCTCCTTTCGGGATTTTTCCAAAAAATTACAAATAAATAAATAAGTGGATATGGTGTTTAGTAGCCGGGAAGCCCCTCTCTGCTCCCCACACAAAATCCCTCACAATACCCATCCTCCCCTTCTCACAGACCACCAGGGCTGGCCTGCAGCCAGGAGTGAGGAGGAAGGAGCCCCAACGGGCAAGGGAAATCCTTGCCTCCCAATACCAGCATGAACTCTCAGCTCCTTACTTCATGTCTTTCTTCAGCAAATTGCTGATAAAATCTTTGGCATCATCGGAGATCTCATCGAACGCTTCATCATCGAAGTCCCAGGTGGCTGAGGTAACGTTGGCTAAGGTTTCATTATCGTTGTCACCCATGAAGGGGGAAAGTCCACTGACCCTGGGGAGATAAGAGCAGGTGAGTGGGGTTGGGGGGAGATCGTGTGTGTTTGGGGGAGGCTGGCAGAGAGGAGAGGTTAGGAGTGAGTGCTGAGGTCAAAGGTGAGATCTGGCCAAGCTTGTCCATACCCCAAACACCTGTATGGCACCTGCACCTGCCTTTTCTCCACCAATGGAAAGGAAAGATTTTTTCTCCACCAATGGAAAGGCAAGAGTGTGGCTTCCTGGAGGTGTTCGTGGCCCTGCCTCTGCTCAGATGCCTGCTGTATTTCAGGGCATCACCTGCCCCCTAATACCTCCTGCCTGTGAGGCTGAGGTAGAAGGGCTAACTTAGTGCAGGGCTGGCACGTGGTACCCAGCAGCGCTGGTGAGGCCTGTTCCTGCCTTCCATTTCCCTGCCGGCACTAGCCCCTCACAAAGCCTCTTCTAGTTGCTTCCCCCATGCTCCTGCCCCACACCACGGACCAGTCACGGGGTACAGTGGTCGGCACTGCACCCCGTCCTTCTTTTTGTACATCTTCAGCTCTGAGGTGAGTCACAGCGGTGCACGCAGGATACTGCAACATGGGCTTAGGGGACCAGAGGCCTTGAGGCCAAACTAGGAAGCTTTCCTGAGAGGCGGGAGGCAGAGGAAAGCGTAGGCTCTTCATTGGCTGTGTGATCCTGGGTAACCCCCCAGTCTCTGAGCCACAGCTCCTTCTCTAGAATGGAGAACATACTTAATTACGGCGTGGTTCTCGACTTGGGCTTCGGCATTAGCTTCATCATGATAGCAGTGAACTTTTTCTTTTTTCATGAGTGATGGAAAGGCAGGTAGACAGCTTGGGCCTCACCATATCACGACCCCCGGCCCCAGACCCCCAGTTAGCTAGGTTCCAGGTATACACCACCACACCCAGCCTATTTAGGCTGGTCCTTTCCGAAGTGCCAGGCACTGAGAAAGAGCTTACCATAGATGCGCTCATTCATATCAACACTGCCCTATGACAATGAACTCTTTTTTTTTTTTTTTTTTTGAGAGATTTTCACTGTAGGGCGCATGCGCTCGCCAGACAGACAGAGAGAGACATAGAGACAGAAAGCGAGAAATCACCCCCCAGGGGGGATGGTCACGCCGCAATCCCTTCTCCTCCATTCTCCTCTCGGGATCTTGGGCACGCACGCACACGCGCCCGGGGTGAGTTTTAAGCCACCGGGTCCGGGACACGAACTGCGGTCGACTACGTGGGAGTCCAGCGACATAGCCATTATGCTAACTGCTGGTTCCCAATGAACTCTTTTTGAAGGAGAGGTTTTTGCTATAGGGCACATGCACTCACTGGAGAGACAGAGAAAGACAGAGAGACAAAAAGTGAGAAATCAGCCTCCAGGGCGAAATGGCCACGCCGCAATCCCCTCTCCTCCATTCCCCTCTTGGGATCTTGGGCACGCACGCACACATGCCCAGTGCGAGTTTTAAGTCACCAGGTCTGGAACTCATATCGCGGTCAATTATATGGGAGTCCAGTGATGTAACCATTATGCCATCTGCTGGTCCCAACACTTAACTCTTATTATTTTGTTTTACTGATGAGGAAGCTGAGACATAGGTAAGTAACCTCAAGAATTCACACCCCACGAGATTTGAACCCAGGCATCCATCTCTCGAGGCTGCCCTCTCGACTGCTGCATTACACCACTATCTCCACAAGGCTCAGTAAATGGTGGTGTACAGCACCAGCCCCTGGCCTGGTCCCAGTATGCTTACTCCATGCCCACAGATATTGCATGGTTCGTCCAGATCACTCCACTGCCTCACCAACCTGGGACTGCAGGAGTGACTCATCCACCAGGAGCTTAAATCAAATAAACATCAACCTCAGAGTTGTCAGGTACATGGCTTATGCCTCTCACCTCTGTGCACCTCATTTTCACATCAACAGTCCATGCCTCCACTCACGCCCACCTGCAGCTTGCCTCATGGCCTGTCACCTACTCTGCTGCCAAGGCCCACCCCCAGGCAGGCCCCACGCTTGGCTTACTGTCTGCTGCCGCCATCCTGAAATTCTCTTTAAACTTCTACCTATTTATTTCTTCCATGAGCAAGAGAGACAGCACCCCCAACAGGGTCTTGGTGCCACGATCCACCCCCCAGCCTCAGCCAGCCCTGGAGGGGTGCTTTTCCCTCCTCTCTGTCTCTCTCCGGTGAGTGCATGCACCCTTCAGCATGCACAGGCCTGGTGTACTCAGAGAGGTCTCCAGATGCAGACCCAGAACCTCCCGTGTTGGTGTGCCTTCCAGAGCATCGAGTTTTACTACTGTGCCACCATCTGGCCTCCTGGAAACTCTCAATAAAGCTTGGATAAGTACTCCGCCTTTTTATTTTGCAAGTCATGTGGCTGGCCTTGCCCCGTCCCCACCCGAACCCTTTAAGATGGATCTGGGGCCCTCTTGCCATCAACCTCTTATTTAGGAAGTTAGGAGTTTTCTAACTCCTAACCCCTTCTCCCAAATCCTCATGAATCCATCATTGTAAGTGATGATGCACTAACAGCTTCAGGAGCTGTTTTGGCATTTGAGAAGCCTCCGCTTAATGAAATACACTCACAGGACACTGACCTTAGTAGAACAAAACCCACTGACACAGCGGGGAAACTTGCTGTAGGAAGAACCCTCTGGTGAGACCTTTTATAAAGAGAAGAATGCTTTTGCAAGGTTAATTATCTCATCCTAATCAACATTTGTGATTTTGAATAATAGGGTTTTGAAGATGGCAGTTTCTTTCTTTTTTTTTTTTTGGTAGAGGTTTTTGCCTTAGGGGATGTGTGGTCACTGGAAAGAGAGAGACAGAAACAGTGAGGGGGAAAGTCGGGGGGAGGGGTGTTAAAGGGGGTGGCCGTGCCTCAATCCCTTCTCCTCCACACTTCTCCTGGGATCTTAGGCATGCAGGTATGTGTACCCGGTGTGAGTTTCAAGCCACTAGATCTGGGGCTCGAACTGTTGTTAACTATGTGGGAGTGCAGTGATGTAACCACTGCTCCATCTGCTGGCCCTGAAGATGGCAGTTTCTTAAAGCAGGACACTGATTTATGTTTCAGGAAGGCAAAGAGGGGGCCAGTCCTGTGGATTAGTGGTTAAGGGAGCGGAATAACACCTGGCTGGCCATGGTTTGAATCCTGGCCCCAGCAGGATTGAAAAACACACTAGGCATGTGTGTGTGCATGCTCCAACTCCAACTCCCAATGGAACAGAGAAATAGAGGAGGGACTGTGCCTTGGACACCCGCCTCCCTTTTAAAAAACTTTCTTTTTTTTTTAATTTTTTTTAGTTCGCTATTTTTAAATTTTTATCTATCTATCTATTATTATTATTATTATTATTCATACATTAAATTGCTATACATCATTTAGATTGTGAAGAGACTTTACCCAGCAGGATATACACCTCAGTCCAGCCCAGTTGAGACCACCACACACATCCTTGTCAACAGCTTAATAAATCTTATCTGTGTCCCACAAGGGACATGCCCTTTTGGGGGGTGCTTTTCCCTCCTCTCTCTCTCTCTCTCTCTCTCTCTGGTGAGTGCATGCACCCTTTGGCACCAACAACAACAACAAATTAAAAGAAGAAGGCAGAGATAATCCTCCTTGGTCGTGGCCTCCCAAGGAAGGCAGGTTTACCAGTCCCTGAGTCTGCACTGTTGCGTTACTCTCCCTTCCCCTCAGTCCCCCTTCTGTACTGAAGGAGACTGAACCGGCTTTGCTAGGGACCTCCCAGCTCTCGACTCTGTAGTCCCATGTGGGTTGAACAAGCCCCATCACTAGACAGTTTGCCTCTGGCTTGTCTGCTACCTGCTGCTTCTTGTCTTTTTATTTTCCATTTGAAACAAAGAGGGAGGAAGTCCTGCAGCACCCCAGAAGATGGCAGGAAAAGCAAACAGCTCTGCTGTGGAATGCTCAACAGTCCTCTTCTGCAAACCTCCTTTCCTAATTAGGAGTTGTAATCCTGCAGATGGGCCTTAATCTCGTCAGGGAGAGCCTCCTCACCTCTGACCTCTGGCGTTCCTCCTTGCTGGCAGCTCATCCATCTGCAGTACCCTCCCCGCCCTGCTGGGTGCTCGCCCACGGAGCTCCCCACATTCTTCCCGTTAAAGAGAACGTCTGACTAAAGCGTGGAGCACGTGCACAGGATGACAGAGGTGCTCCAGCCTTCTGTAATGCTGTTTCTAGATGGTGGAATTTTGCAGGATTATTTTTTAACTTTGTTTTTGGACTTTTTCTTTATTGCTAGAAAATTTGTTAAGGGATCACGTGTCTTTTTATTTTTAAAAAGGTCATAATTTGTTAAAAAAAAAAGTTCAGGGGCTGAATGGTGGCATACAAGTAAAATGTGATGCTCTATGGAGCCGGCCGATATGGGATGGCTCCAGGCTCATGTTCAGAGACCTGCATATGCATACACACCCATGATTGGGGACTGGTGAGGCTGCGGGTACAGGGCCTCACGACTCTGTTGGGGTTGCCCTCTCTCCCCTTTTCTAAGCTCACACTGAGTAAAGCTCTCTGAGCACCTGGGGTCACTCCAGGCCTGACAAAGAACCAAGGCTGGACCTCTGAAGACATGGCCTTAGGAGGGGCCGGCATTCCAGGCTCTGCCACTGCAGGGTCACGCGGATCTGGGGAGCAGTCCACATGGACACCAAAGGAGCACGGGGTCCAACAGCCCCAAATACAGCACAACCAGAACACGTGTGGTACGTGTGAAATGTGGCATACGGCCTCCCAGAATAGCTTGATCACTTTCCTTATCAAAAGGCCTTCCTCTGGGGCCAGCAGATGGTGTGTGGGTATGTTGCTGGACTTCCACATGGTCAACCGCAGTTCGAGTCCCAAAACTGGTGATCTGAATTGCAGCATGGCCATCACCCCTGGGGGGTGATTTCTCACTTTCCCTCTGTCTCTGTCTCTGTCACTCTGGTGAGTGCACACGCCCTAAGGCAAAAACCTCTACCAAAAAAAAAAAAAAAGACCCTCCTCTTTTCCGAAGGAGGAACTAAAGAACCTCAGGCTTCAGACCCCTGGGTGTTCTTGCTCAATACACTTTCCTTTTTCTCTTGAGATGGTGTCTCCTGAGTCTTACTCCAAACTGTGACACCTTTCTGTCTCTCTCTCACTTATGGACGAAATAAATAAGTCGATAAATAAATAAGTCAATCAACAAATACAATAATGTTAGTATTAAAACCACAACTTGGGCCAGCCAGTGGTTAAGGTAGCTGGATCTCACACAGCGGACTGTGTGGTTCAGGTCCCAGACCTGGTGTGTTCATGCCCATAAGCTTGAAAGGAGGGAGGGAGAAAGGAGAGGAGGCTGTGTGGCATGACCGTCCCTCACTGGTGGGCAGGAGGGTCTCACTCCCCACCCCGACTCCTGTGAGTACACATGCTCTCTGGGAAATTAAAATAAAGAAAAATGTCCCTCCCTGGTCAGTCTTACCTCATTTTAACCAACATATTTATCTTGATTTTTACAAAATTGTGATCAGTTTGGACCAGTTCTTAGAAGCTCTACTTTTTCTTCACTTGATATCTCAAGTGTACACAGAGACTTCATGTTCTTTTTCTTTTTTTTCTTTGGCTATGTGATGCATGCACTCATTGGAGAGAGAGAGAGAAAGCATCCCCCGCACAGGACTGGCCACACTGCAAACCCTTCTCCTACATTCTCCTCTTGGGATTTTGGGCACACAGACACATACGCCTGGTGGGTTTTTTCGGGCCACCTGGTCCAGGACTTGAACTACATAATTGGCCATGTGGGACCCAGCTGCCTCAACCAGCATGCCACCAGCTGGCCCTTAATGTCCATTTCTAATGGTCCAGTCTTAGTCTTTGTGCTGATGAATTACAAAGGTTATCACTGCGGGGCATCCTAATTTCTTTCTTTCTTTTTAAAAAAATTTGCTAGAGGGCACATGCACTTGCTAGAGACAGAGAGAGAGAAAGAGAGAGCGATAGGGAAAGTAAGAAAGCACCCACCACCATGGGGAATGCCCACTCCGTAATCCTTTCTCCATTTCTGCCTCCGTTTGGGATTATGGGCATGCATGCACATGTGCTCAGTGTTTTTCAAGCCACCAGGACTCAGACCACATAGTCAGCCATGTGGGATCCAGCCGCCTTAACTGCCATGCCACTGGTTGGCCCCAATTTCTTAATTCTTGATCTTACTGAAGCCAAAGCTCACCCTGGGAATCTAGTGCTGAGGCCTGTTCTGCTCTCAAGGCAGGTCAGGAGGGCCGAGGCTGCAGAAATGCCTCTTGTGTGGTTTTCCAAGCAGCAGGCAGACGGCCTTGCTGCATGTGTAGCCAGCCAAGGGGCCCACAAAGCTGCCAGCAGAACCACTGGGTGCTTAGGGAGGGGTCGTCTGCAATCCCATTTGAGCCCTCAGATGCTCTGGTGGGAGGTCTACAGAGGGCTGGACCGGTCCAGGGAAGAGCTGAGAGCTGCTTTGTGCAAGTGCCTTGGAGTAGCGGCCTGGGGTTTAGCCATGTAAGCTGCAGCTCGGGTTCCTGGGCAGCAATGCCTGAAGGTGGTGCCTAGGACTGGCGAGGAAGCAGGGAGCCTGATGTGCAGGGCTGGAAGCAGGGAGTGTGTGTAGGCAGGGGAGAGGCAGGGGAGAGGTGTGGCAGGGGCTGGTGGGAAAAGCACAGACTACCAACCCCTCTGTGCGGCCTCTTATCCAGACACCAGTCTACAGAGGCATTGGGACTCCTCCCCCAGGACAGCTCACCTGCTGTCCTCCCACACACCTCTCCCCCCTTCCTGGCATCCTTCCCGGCTACACCTGATGGAAAGTCTCTCCCGTTCTCTGGACCACAGTGGGAGCTCAAGAAAGGAGCTGAAATAGGGAGTCTGTGTGGAGGAAATCAGTAGGGAGGAGAAAAAGGAGCAACAAAGGTCCCATTCCTGTCTGCATTCTCCTCACGGGGTTTTAGGCATGCACCTGAGCCAAGCCTCTGTGTCCGGGACTAGAACCTTGGTCAGCCATGTGGGAGGTGGCATGGTGATTAAGGTGCTGGACTCCCATACGACGGACTAGTATGTTTTTCAAGTTGTCAGATATTCGATGCCTTAACCACCATGCTATCTGCTGGCCCACAAACTTTCATTTTTAAAACAGAGTGCTCAGGGCCAGCAGATGGTGTAATCATTATATCACTGGGCTCCCATGGAGTCGACCATGGTTCGAGTCATGGACCCGGCAGCTTAAGACTCACACCGGGCGTGCGTGCATGTGTGCTCAAAATCCTGAGAGGAGGATTACCTAGTTATTTTGGTCCTAGGTTATATAAGAGGTTGTCAACAACCTCATGGAAGATGCATACTATGAAAAAACTAGGGATGGATTTCAACATTTTTTGTGTGTATACTTTAATCCCATTTTCCATGATATTATTAAAGTCACCTCATATATCCATCAAAAATGCATTAAATAAATTCACAATAACATACGAAAATGTATCAAAATGTTTATAATACCCAAAACTGAAAACTACTCGAAAGCCCATCAAGACTGAATGAATGAGTTAACTGGATATAGTCACACAGTGAGGTACTACATAGCACCGAGAATGAGAACTCTATAACTACAATAATAACTACGACTGACTCACAACGCTGAGTAGAAGCCAGACGCTTCTTTTTGTACAGTTTCATGTACGTGAAGTTCCAGAACAGGGAAAACTGACTCATGACATTGGCCTGAGGACAATGGCAAGCTCTGGGGTACAGTATCCAGGAGGGGTGTGCGGGGCTGCAGGTGCCCTGGCCATGTTCGGCTTCTTGATCTGGGAGTAGGTTCTGTGGGTGTGCTCACTGCAAACCCTACTGAGCAGTCTAGTCTCCGCTCGGTCACTGGCAGCAGAGAGACCTATTGCCTGGCTTGCCTAGGTGTGGGAATTTAGCACTGAAGATCCCATTTCCTGGGAACCCCGTCCGTGCTGGCCAAACTGGGACACTTGGTGGCCCTGCGGACTGTGGGAAGGGTAGCTATGTGGGCTTTCTTGGCTCCAGTCGCCTTGGTGCCAAATGAAGGCCGAACCCCTGCCATGTCCCACTCCCACGTTTGTTCAGAGGATCAAACAAGATCCCGTAAGGAAATCTGTGGCTGTACCGTCCTGTAGGCCACCGCGGCTGGAAAGCCCATGGAACAGCACAGTGAGCGAGGCTGCGTGACGGCCGGACAAGGACGATCGGGCAGCTGGGATCTGAGCAGAGTGAGCTGACCAAGGACCGCTTCTCCAGGGCCGTGCGATCTCAAGGGGACAGAGATCAGTGGGAGCACTGTCCAGGCCTGGGGCAGCAGGAGGGACTGGGCCAGCACCCTGCTGTCACTTACCATGGGAGCCCGTAAAGCACTGGGCTCAGCTGTCTTCCTAACCAGCTCCCTCTTTCCTGGAGCGGGCTGGGGTAGGGAGAGGCAGGGCGGGCATGCCTGCCAAGGGGTTCTCTGTTTATCTGGGGCAGCCCGTAGTGATGGGGTTGCCTAGGAAGGGAAGAAGACTCCCTGGGGTACAGAACCCATGGCAGGCTCACTGAGGAAAGTTGTCCTAACAGCCATGGGGAGAATGAAACTCCTGAACACGGAAAAACCACATCTCACGGGACCAGCAGTTAGCGGCTGTGTCTCTGGACTCCCACGCAGTTGACCGCAGTTTGCGTTCCAGACCCGGTGGCTTAAAACTCATGCAGGGTGTGTGTATGTGTGTGCCCAAGATCCTGAGAGGAGAATGGAGAAGAAGGGATTGTGGCATGGCCATCCCCCCTGGGGGGTGATTTCTTGCTTTCTGTCTCTCTGTCTCTGTCTGTCTGTCTGGCGAGTGCGCACGTCTGATAGCAAAAACCTCTAAAAAAAAAAAAAAAACCACATCGTATGAAGATCACCCCACTTGTGCTAAAACTTCTGTAGCAGTGTTTTTCTAAACCTGGTTGTGCCTCAGAACCCCCCCCCACAACCTTTTCTCACATTGGGGTCTGAAGACCCAGGGGTCTGAGAAAGTGTTCTGAGAGCTCCTCTTAGTTTCCTATGAAAACGCTTACTTTTCCTCTTGTTTTGACAACAAAAGTTGCTTTTTAATGAATGCAAGTGTATCTGCATCTTCGGGGAGACCACCCTGAACTGAACCCACAAGTTCAGGGGCGGCCTCTGAGGAAGATGACTGTCTGCAGTCCTGGGCATCAGTGGCTGAACCGAGACCCCCCGAGAAAGTGCACTGCAGAGCTCCGTTCCTTACACCAGCACCACTGGCAACCTGGAGCCTGCTAGAGTGTGACTCTCAGGGCACTCAGGCCTGAAGGGCAACCTCCAGCTGACAGAGGGGCGGTGCCTCACGTGTCTACTGCTCGCGAAGCACGGGTCTCAGCGCCCCTTTCTCCAGCACAGTTATGGGATGACTGTTGAAGGCGGTTATCCAAAGTGCTCATTAATCAGCCCATATACTGCACGCAGAGGCCAGGCTGGAATGGGGTCCACATCTCCTGAGGATGGGGTGCTGTCCCCAGAACACAATGATGATACCCTTAGATGTGTACCGGGGTCCTTCCCTCTCTGGGCTACTCTACGGACCCACGTAAGCGCCAGCCACACTTCCCACTCACCTGACCGAAGGCCCGGCTTGGCCAGGCTTGGTGACCTGAAGGACCCAGAATGACAGTTTTGGAGTGTGGAGGTACACGTAGCTACAGAAGTGTGATGCAGGCCACTGGCTTGTCAGGAGCCCAGGAGGAAGGCGGGCTGATGGGGCTGGGGGTGGGAGCCTGCCTCCCTGTTGCTGGGGCGGGCTCCCACAATGACCCACCCACCCTCACAGCACCAGGGCGCCTGGCGCCCTCCCCAGGACTCACAGGATATAGCAGATGACTCCGATGCTCCACATGTCCGTGGCGTAGCCGATGGGCTCATAGTTGATCACTTCAGGAGCCACGAACTCCGGGGTGCCAAAGAGGACCTTCAGAGAGCCTGCATTCTCTGAAACCAGCACGGGAGGGGTCAGTCGCCAGCACGTTGCAGGGCCAGCTTGAGCTAGGCAGCCCCGACTCAGGAGGGACACAGACAAGAGCGTGGGCTTGGACACTCTGTCCTTACACGGCACAGAGACGCGTGGGCTCCTTGTGAAGCACGGGCCTCGGACACCAGTGAGGCCAGCAACCGTGTGCTCGCGCTGCCTCCCGAGCAGGTCGGTGGGGAGCAGTGGTGTTGCTGTCCCTGCCCCAGCCCTTTGTGTGTGTCTCTCCCACGAGTTAGTTCTCTGAGCAGGGACCGTGACATAACTCCAGCGTTCGCTATGTGTAGCCTGCCACCAGCTTTGTGAGGACCGTCCCATTGAATATGCTCAACAGTCTGAAGAAGTGGGTCTTATACCTGTCCAGGGACAAAAGGGAGGCCCGAGGAAGCGGAGTGATTTCCCCGCTCAGGCAGCACGTGGCAGGCAGGACTTCGAACTCCCGAGCCGTGTTCACTTCCACTCCCCTCCCTCCCCCGGGAGCTGCGGGAGGACAGTCAGGACAGGCCTGAGCCCCAGGGTGGTGCCTCTTAGCCATGAAGGGCCAGCGATGCTCACGGCACGTGCTGAAGGCGGGCACCTTGTGAGGTACCAGCCCCTGCAGAATCTCGTCGGGTGGGGTGGGGGTGGCAAGCCTGGCCTGTGGGCCACGTGTGGCTCGTCCAGCCTCGCAGAGCCCAGGGCACCATTCCACAGCATCGCATGTAACAGCCCTCGTGAGGCGGAAGTTGCTCCAGCCCTCGCCTGGACCCCCTCTGCTACCTTTCGCCATTCCCGGTTGGTTCTGGGCGGACATGGCTGTCCCCATAGCACCCCGTCACCAAGGGACTTGAGCCTGTGTTCCGTGGGCTCCGTCAGTCCCAAGGCCAGTGCCCCCTGGCTGTTTAGGGCATCAGGGTCACCGTGCCCTGTCCGCCAGCTGCTGCCCTCCTCTGCCGCTGGGAGGAGGGGGCAGAACAGGTGTGTTTGCCCAGCGGGGTGCCCTCGCTGCCAGTGCTGACACCAGATGAGCCATGGTCTGTCAAGACCTCGTCCCTGCGTTCCTCTCTAACCGGAGGACCAGGAATCCTTGGGTATACTGGGTGGCATTAGCTCCGCCAGCCCCTCCTCTGCCCCCAGGGAGATGGACAGTCTGACTGGCCTAGCCCTGGTCTAGCTTGTTGACCGGGCAGTGGCTGAGACAGGAGGGCAAAGTTGTCTCCCCACCTGCTGAGACGCCGAGGGGCTGCAGGGCGGGGTGGGTGTAGGCGTATGTGAGGTAGCCAGTCGCCCACGGAAATGACTTTGATGGTGGAGGGCTGGGTGCAACCTCCTCCCCTCCCTGCTGCATGTGTGGGAACAGCAGAGGTGCCAGAGAGCCCGGAGGCGGGCCGGGGTTCTTATTCCAGTCCCAGCACCTGCCTAGCCCACAGCAGGACCCGTGGGGCTGTCCTTTTACCTGCATTAGCTCAGCTGGCCCTGCTAACCACCCTGCCACCCCGCTTTACGTCCTGTGCACGGCATGGTCCTGAGCAGCCTCCGTGGTCCTGATTGTGGCCCCCGATCCTGTGTGCTCCCGCTGCTGCCAGAGTGTGGAACACAAACACCCACTCCAGGGGGCGCCAGGGAGAGGCGACGGCTTACCCAGCCTTCGGGCCAGACCGAAGTCGATGAGCTTGATCCTGGTGCCCGTCTTGTTGACGCACATGATGTTCTCGGGCTTGAGGTCCAGGTGCACGATGCCCTGCTTGTGGATGTACTCCACGCCCTCCGAGATCTGCCGCATGTACTTGATGCACTCGCGCTCCGTCAGCTCGAAGTCCTCGTCAATGATGCGCTCGAACAGCTCGCCCCCCGACACGCTGTGGGGACAGCAGGAGGCAGTCACGCCACCGGGCCATGGAGGCCGGGCGGCAGGGGTCTGGCAGAAGGAAGCCTGGGTCGGGACCCTGGCAGGAGAGCCCAGGGCCGGGATGATGAGTGTGTTCTGCAGCTTGTTAAGTCCCTGTCTTCCACTGTAGAAGTAGGAGGGGGGTCGGGGCCTCCTGGTTTCCTGCTGGGGAGACCCTGCCCTGTACCTATGAGCTTCTGGGGGATTCAGGGATGCATCTGGGTCAGGTCGTTTTGGAGGTGGCTGTGAATGGAGATTCAGAAACGGTGACCTCGGGGCAGTC